GAGAGAGAGAGAGAGAGAGAGAGAGAGAGAGAGAGAGAGCTGCAGCATGCAGCATGTCAGTAGCGGGGAGCACAAGGGCAGGCACTGACCTCCAAAAAAAAAGTAATTGTATTGGAATACAAGAGTTTTTGCTTTTGGAAATCTGAATAGAAAGGGTACATGTTGTGTTCAAATACAAGGTGTACGTTTTCAACTCTAGGAAATCTGCTATTCGAGAAGAGTGTACCTGCACCGTTTCAATTTTCGGAAAAGGCTTAAGGACTGCGGCCTCCTCGGCCTCCTACAGGGAGCTACCGCTCCTTCGCGTTCCTGGCCCTTGAAAGCCCCAAAACCTGAAAATGGCCACCCTCCCGACCACCGACGTTGAAATCTGAGTGACGTTGAACGTTGAAAATCTCAGGGGGGGAAAACGCAACCCTGACGGGCTGCGAACAGCCCAGGCCGCGCCGATGATGACGTACACCGTCCATCAATCCACTACAGATGTAGCATAGATCATTGCTTACTTAGAGCTGAAGCCGCTCCGCCTGTCCGCTGGGTCCTAATGCGAACGGTCCGCCCATCCGCTGGGTCCCATTGCCGATGGTGCACATGAGTTGTCCGCCCGAACTGGGCCCTGGTGCTGTTTTCAGGCCGTAAAGGGCTCGGATGTCTAATCGCTGCAAGATCCTGGCCACCACATTCCCACTTCCGGACCATGGTGGACAAATATCTGACGGTCGTCAAGACCGCGATCTGACGGCTGAAAAGAAGCCCGTGCTAGGCGGGCGGGAACTGAGCGCCGTGGAACGCTGTCGAAGGCGTACTTCTGACAACCTTCGATTCGAATATTTTGCGCCAGCGAAAAGCTCTACAGACCTTTTGGCGGTGTGAAACCGTGGAAACGGGGTGTTTCGGCGGTGATGTGGCGAGCCTCAAACGCACCCTTGCAAACCTCCCGATTACCACCTCCCCACCCCCACTGCCGGTACCCACGCGACAGCCTCTGCTTCTGTAGAGACGCATAGGACAACATACGACAAAAGCTCTCGGCGTGTATTGGAGGCTACGGGCTGTGAACATAACATGTATAACATAAATAACATATAGCCACCGTTTCGGTGCCGAGTTCGTTGGTTTCTAATTGACTTGATTGTATTCTGTGGCTTAATTAATCGCCTCCATCAGATTCATCACGATGAGTAGCATCGGGACTGGGGTATGTGAAAGCAACTCAACTCAGTGCATGGGCCTGCCTTCTCGGATACCTATTTGTGTTTTTCTTTGTCGTCGTTCTCGTCTTCCTCTTCCTTTTCTTCCTCCTTTCTTTCCTCTTCTTCTTCCTCCTTTCCGTCGTCGTCTTTTTCCTTTTTCTCCTTTCTTCCTCTTTTTCTTACTTCTTATCTTTTATCTTCTTCCTCCTCGTTTTTTTTTTCCTTCTCGTTTTGATTCTGTTTTTTCTATCCTTTTTTTTTTTAATAATAATCAGAAGGATTGCTCCATTGTATTGTTGGGGAGCTGCACCTGCTGGAAACCTGGGTCCAGCGTCCCAGAAAAAAATGATGAATCAATTCCTCTTTTTGTTTTTCCTTTCCTCCCCCTTCCTAAGTCTGTAATCTATCCTCCTCGGGTTAAGGCGAGGGACATTGAGTACTCAACCGAGAAGGATTAACCCCCCACCCAAAATCTCTCTATCCCCTCTCTCCGCCTCTCTCGATGTATGTTTAAATGTAAATATATGCATAAGTAGTTCCCCTTCATTCTATCACTTATCTGCTGGAATGCAGACTCTGAGCACAAAGCTCTCGGTAATCTCTATGTGAGCGTCTAGTAGGGTATCGCCATTTGTAGATCTGGGGGAAACTCTCTCACCTAAAATCCAATCTCTCTAGCTGTAGGCGCCAACTAGGAAGCTGTTGGCCAATGCCACGTGTCCACCCGGGAAGGCGCTAAGCAGTAAGCTGTCCGCACATGCCACACGCCCAACTCAGGGGGAGAGGCCCTCCCCTGCCCAGTTGTCGTGATACCCTCCCTCTCTCCGTCCCTCTCTCCCTCCCACTCTCTCTCCCTCTCTCTCCCTCTCTCTCTCTCTCCCTCTCTCCCTCTCTCCCTCTCTCCCTCTCTCCCTCTCTCCCTCTCTTTCTTTCTGTCACTCAGCCCCCCTCTCCGCACTCTCTCTCTCACCCCTCTCCGCACTCTCTCTCTCTCACCCCTCTCCGCACTCTCTCTCTCTCACCCCTCTCCGCACTCTCTCTCTCTCTCTCTCTCTCTTTTTCTTTTCGCATGCTCTAAATACCACGGAATTTTGCAATCCCGCCTTTTGTCCAGGTGGTTTCGGGCCTCCTCTCCTCTCAGATATGATATTAGCAGCCGTGGTGGAAGCACGCCGCCACCACGTTCTTCGATGAGCATTTCGATCTTCTCTGTTATATCATCGTCCATCGTTCCCTTCCTTTCCCCCTGGGTTGCAACTGCCCGTCCCGCCTAATCCCTCATTATCGTTATCGTTCGTCGTTGCTTCTTTCTCCTGATGTCGATTCTGTCTATCAGCAGACTCTTTGTCATCGTCCTTACTCTCTTTACCCGTTCCTTTATCGCGACATAGTCAAGACGAACGTAGTCTATCTTCGTTAGTAGCATCGGCGCAGCACTCAACACAGCCAGATTCACCCCCCCCCCCCTTAACCAAGTCTCCTGACATTGCCCGTCTCCCTTCTCCCATCTTTCTCACTCCTACCCTTGCAGTTCTCCCTTTCGAACGATGCTCCGTATCATTCCGTATGGAAACGAGGGGGGGTGAGGGGGGGGGGAATCGCATATTTAAAATTTTCTACAGCGACGTAACCATCTTGATGAACATCCCCTGCTGATATTCTTCATGAATTTCTCTTTCTTCAGTGTTCTTGATTTCCCGCCCGTGGATGCACTGTCCAATCAACACAGCCCTATCTCAGTTGGTGGCCGCATTTCGAACACGTCGTCATCTTCTCTCCTTCCCACTTATCCTTCTTTTCACCACACTCGTTTGCTAAATTCATATAGAACCGATGTCTCCTGGCGGTTCCCTCTCCCTCTCGTGAATTTCATTGCGCTCTTAAAGCGGCGAACCCCCTCCTCTCTTTCTGTCGCCTCTCAGTCGAAAATGCCGTGAATGGAGTGCGCCAGAGGCAAGTAGAAAATGGCTCCAGGCCGTTCGGTCTCCCTCTTGCGCTTGAGAAGTGGCGGGACCCCCTCCTCTCTTTCTGTCGCCTCTCAGTCGAAAATACTGTGAATGGAGTGCGCCAGAGGGAAGTAGAATGGCTGTTGTCGTGTAGCTTCCCGTGGGGTCTCCTCCCCATGCTCTGTCTCCTTGATCTGTTGCCGTTTAGAACCGTTAGACGCCCATTGCACACCCACCCACCTCAGCTAATAAGCCCGCATCTGGCCTGAACTGAACCGTACAGGCCACCTGGCTATGGTCCGGATCCCGACGTCTTCGTCAATCGCACCTGCACCGCAGACGCCTCCCTTCCTTCCTTGCGCGAGCCTGTCGTGCACAAGGTCCGGACGCGTCGCTGCACCGCAGACGCCCCCCTTCCAGCAAGGCCTCCCACCCCCATCTCAAGACCAAAGGAATCAATTAGTGATTTCCGCTGTTGATCGCCACCTGTCCTTTCTTTGTTTATAAAGGAGTTCTAGATCAAGGGAGTTACAGGAGCTGTCGATCCTTACAGGAGTTGGTAGTAACACTTCCTCGGATCTCTGTTTCTTTGTCCTCTTCTCTGTGTTTCTTCATTTCGGATTTATTTGCGTTTTGGATTCCCCTTCCGCAGATGACTGGCGCCTCCACACGCCGCCTTTTCCATTGTCCTTTTCTCCCTTCCTGCCTGCGGTTCACCGAGCAGTTCTCTATCACGATAAAAATAATACGATACATATGTATATATTTTTCTATACATATACACGTACGTGGGCGGTCTTGTACGCAAGAGGCTGTGAACAGGGGGAGGTGTAAGTAAGAAGATAAAAAACTAGATATCTTTCTTGTTTGCTTTTGTTTTTCGCTTTTGCGCTCTGATACCTTTGTGACGACATACGGCCGGGTAAACCGTAGGCAGAGAGGGGGAGAGGACAACAAACGACGGGCTGTGGCGGACTGTGTCGTCGGAGTCTCCGACTCATCAGGAGGCTGAACGCTTTACAGTCTGCAGAGTCCACTAACCGATGATGCTGAAAGTGATAATCTATATAGAAATATAAATGTACGGACCTGTTGCAATTATCTAGGTATGTACGCATGTATCACTATGTTACAGTATGTGCGTATATACCTATTCGGCTCTTACACATATTACAGATGCATGCTGCAGCTGTTGTAATTAAGTAATAATATACACCTACATGTATGAACCTGCATATTAGCTATCACACACGATACAGTAAATATATGCGTATCTGTCCTCCTGAATAGTAGGTAGGTGAAACTCCGACGACACAGTTTGTCACAGCCCCCCTTCGTTTGTTGTCCTCTTCTCCCTCCCTCTCTGCCTACGGTTTACCGTAGGCAGCTCTTTCTGACTCTATATATAAATACACATGCCAGTATATAACAAGGAGGGAAAAAAAACCCTAACTGTTCTATTCCAGACACCGTTGGCAATCTATCAAACGAACGAACGATAGCGGGATAATTCACGGCTTGGCGAGATCTGTATTGTTATGTCTGTCTGTATTTTGACAAATTTAAAAAGGCAAAGGTTGGTAATTTTTCTGTGCAAACATATGATCCATCGGTGACGGAGACGTAACATAAACGGAAATGTATGTGAAATAAACGGAAATTTAAACGGAAATGTATGTGAAATAAGCAGAAATGTATGTGAAATAAACGGAAATGTATGTGAAATAAACGGAATGTATGTGAAATAAACGGAAATGAATGTGACCAACGGGGGCTGTTAGAAATGGACGGCAACGCGAACGGGAAGAGTGAACTTGATGAGCTTGGCGGACAAGGAAAAGCGAACGTTCAACCCTAATTACCTTGAAATTTAGTGGAAGAAAAGTACACAAGGAATGATTTTTGGAAAAATTGAGAGGTAAGTCGAGGAAACTGGAGCGTGATTGAATTGTTTAATTTCAGGGAATGACGTTGAAATGTCCACGTGGAGCGCGATGTGAACACAGCATGGCATGAGCCGCCACGTATAAGGG